ATTTATATTTGTTCATTGAGGGAAACTGATTTAAAGGAACATATTTGTATGTGACAAAAAATAAGTCAACCTTTGTTTTCGGTAACTAGTGAACTCCCCTTGAGCAGCAGTAACTGCAACTAAACATTTCCAGTAACTATTGATCAGTCCTGCACATGAGCTAGAGGAATTTTAGTCCATTCCTCCTTACAAAAAAACCTTTCGGAGGTCTTCAGAAAACTCCTTTTGTCAAACCATGACAGACTTCCATATTCGAGTTTTGTGAAGATCACACTTCAGAGTGAATATCCAGAATTCTGTTGTTTAAATAAGGTAGGGCCTTCCACATTCATACCTAATTATCAGCCCATTGATTGAACCAGCTGACTTTTAATTTCTCTGAACTGTAAAACCCTAAAGGTTTACATAGTTTTACAATACAGAAGTAGGTAGCTTTAGATAATTTTCTTTAATAAACCAATGAGCTAGAACAGATAGTCCTCACTTCACAACTGTAATTGGGACCAGCAGCTGTGGTGCTAAGCAATGGAGTCAACTGAAACATGTCAGTTCCGCTGCAGTCATTAAGCAAATCGGCCACAGTCACTGGTGTCTTTTGATCACAAGTTGTGGCTCATACCAGCTTCCCCATTGAGTTGTTAGAAACCAGCAATGAAGCTCACAAATAGGGATCATGTAACCATGGGATTGTGCTGACCCAGGTTGCCGAGGCAGAGGCAGGCTTCCATAGAGTCCTTTATTGCTCTGCTAATTCCACAACAAATGGCACTGCAACAGCTGGTAAACTTCCCTGAAGGTTCCACAAACAAAGCCAATAATCACCAGAGCCAAATTGCAAAGGCAGAGAGGAAGTCCAAACATAAAGTGGAAATCTACAAAGCAAGGTCCCTAAGTAAGTCGTATACAAGATTCCAGGTCCACGGGGCAAGGTCTGCATGCAAGGGTCAAATTCCATAGGCAGAAACATGATACAAGGCAGTTTTTCCAAGGCCAGGGAAATGCATGCCAAAAGCAAAGCAACTGTTCCCGACAAAGATGGCTCCTCCCCAATCCTAGTGTTCCTTGTGAGGAGGGACACGGGGAGACCTTCTTCTGAGCAGCCCCTCAGACCTTTGAGCTTGCCTCTGCTCTACTCTCCCTGCCTTTGGATGGAGTGGGGGAGGCTGCTATTCCTCATCAGAGGGAATCTGCTGCCTCTCAACACCACCACTGCCTGTCTGCAGGTGATCCCCCTGTGTGTCTGTGAGGGCAGGTGGCTCCCTGTCTGGTTGACCATCTCCCCCAATGCCTGAAGGGCCTAGGACATCATCGTCCTCGGCCCCTGACCTCTCCAAATATTCCAGGGGAGTTGTGCCACCCCTGTTGGGACAATCCTAGTTCAAACTCCTCCTCCTCCTCCTCCAAACTGGGATCCAATGGGGCCATGAGAGGGACAATATGATGGTCATAAATACCCACCAGTTGTGAAGTTTCCAAATCTTAATCACACGACTGTGGGGATGCTTCAAAGACACGGCAATGGGCATATGTTTGAAGACCAGTTGCAAATTTACTTTTTCAGTGCCATAAGTCTAATTGCTGAACAACTGAAGACTACCGTATAGCTTATTGAATTGGACTCTCTTTATCTAGTTTTAGGACTTTTGTGGACCATAGAAAACATTTTAGGTCCTACTTATGCAGAAATATTGAGTTTCACAAACCTTTAAGCACTACTGTATATAAAATTGTTTTATTAGAAAAAGAGAATCAGATTTTCCCCACTGATAATTAATATTTCCTGACCAGGACAAGTCTCACAATGCTGTATTAGATTTAAGTATATAACATTTACTGTCAAGCAGCTCAGCTATGATTGCTGGGTGATCAAACAAGAACAGTTTCTACAGTACTGCCCTCAAACACAGCTGTATTATAGATGTAGCTCTTCCTTCCATTCTGGCCTTCGTAGCAACAGATTTTAGCTAGAGCTGATTACAAGATATTTCTGAGTGAAATGACTTTCTTCAAGTGACAACATGGAATGGGGGAGCTAGATGAAAGTAGCAGTTGGTGTCTGAACAGTACAACAAAATTGCCTTTTCCAACTTGGCGCTTTCTAATTGCACTTTCCCACGATTCCAAGCTAAGATGGTCAGCTTGGCTCTAGAAATCTGCCCCAACCAATATGCAAATGAATGCTTACCATAACATACAATGGCAGCTTTCGCTCCACGATAGTATATTCGGCTCATAGCTTCATACCTCTCTGAGCCAGCTGTATCCTAGAGTAAAATAATGGAGAAGAGTCAGATTTTCACTTAGTGGAAAAGTATGGTTCTACTGTACATAGTACTATGCATAATGCAATAATGCAATGCAAACATTGATTAAACTTACTGTCAGTATCGTGAAGTAAAATTAAGAAACTTTCTCTTTATACAAAATATCCTTCATCACCTTGCATAACATAAATTCCATAAGTGCTCTTCTTTTTATTGTTTACTGTGCATAGCCCACATAGCTATTATTTCAACAGTGACTTACCCAGATACCCAAGGTTACTGTGCGGCCTCCCACTGGCATTACTTTAGCCACGAATGCAGCACCTATTGTCTAAAATAACAAAGGTAGGTGTGAATACAGCTATAGTATACCCATCAGTTTTGGAAAGCAGCTATACAGGTAATCCTCAAGATACAACCATAATTGACCTCAGAATTACAGCTGTACTGTGTTGCAATCCTAACTTAAGGCATCATGTGAATGGATCTATTTTTTAATATATTTTTATAATGGTTGGTAAACACATTGATTTCACTCAATGGACTCCTCCCCCAAACCAGAAGTAACCACCAGAAACAATCAAAAATGTAGTAATTGCAGTCACTTGACTGTGGGACGCTGCAAAGACCCTGTTGCCAAGTGCCCAAAATGCGATCATATTGATAGGTGGTGGGGAGGAGAAGCTACCTCCATATCTTTGAAAACGTGTGGTAAGTAGCTCTGGGGAAGTCCATCTTAACTTCAAACCAGTAATTAAACAACATGAATCAAAGACTTCTTTTTAGAGGCAAATGTATCATATCCAAATGACTGCGATAGAAATGATTTGTAAATAGGAAAAACAACTGTTTTAACATTTTCTCTTCTTAGTGTGCATTACTGAGTGAAACACATGCTGGTAGATAAGACACTATACTGTATATAGTGAGAATCAGTAAACTTCTCAGAAAACATTTGAAAAGTTCTCTTTAAACTGAAAGTAGACTTCTCTGCCTCAGTTAAAATGGCTCCTTTTTGAAATAGTTTCACTTCAGTTTATCAACCACTCCCCATTTCACAATAAGTATTGTAAAAACCTTCTCAGATTCAAATTCTGATGACTAGACCCACAGGGTTGTCATTTAGCTATTTATTCACTCTCTACTTCTGAAATCCAATAGAACTATAATAGTAGTTCTATAATGGAATTGTAACAGGACAATATAAAAAGGTCACCAGGAACAATAACATCCAGGCCCAACCCAGAGCGGGGCTTTCATCTTGTTCCAGTTCCCCTTTCTCAGGACTTTCTTTAATAGGATTTTTTAATAGCACTCCTTAACGCTCAGCAAGATAGGGGCTAGGTCTGATCTTAAGAAATAAACAATTTCAATTAAGTGACTGCAGCAAGGAAACTCAACTCTGTAAATAAAAAAAGGAGCTCTTGGCAGCATTTAGCACAATGATTTGCTGTTGTTTTTCTCCTGGATATTTGGGGACTATCCAATCTAGTCAATGGCCCTGGGATTCCCAAGCAATTTCTTACCTGAATGTCAGTCAAGACCAACTCTGCTCAGCTGAAAAGATCAGCTAATATTGATTAGATGTTTATAACATTAAAATAAAATCAAGCCTGAGAATCCAAACTTAGTGAAATTTGGGGGAAGAAATAACTGGAACTGCAAACGACTCAGTCCAATTGAGCGGAAAAACTTTCAGTACAAAAAAGACAAAACTCACATTTTGATAAGGTCCTACCAGGAAGCGGTTGTGAACATATCGCTCCACCAAGCTGGTCTTGCCTACGTACTCTTTGCCCAGCATCACAACTTTGGCATCCACACGCTGCCCGCTCATTCTCCTGCCCTCGCAGTGTTGCCCTCCAGAGGGATCCCAAGCTCCCCCAACTCAGTCAGGCGGAGCAGCCAAACAGGAGCAGCTCAGTTAGGCAAGTTCACCTGAAGCAAAGAGAGGAGGAAGTGCAGTGATTCATCACAACAGAAGAAGGTATTTGTCCAAAAGCTAGGGCATCCTCCTCTTCTCCTGCACCAAGAGTGATTGGCGGCTTGGATTAAGAGACCCAGCATCCCTTTTCTCACGAGCAGCACGCCAAATACTCCTACTGTACCTGTGAGAAGACAAAGTCACCAGACCAGAAGCACAAGCTTTTTATCCTTTCGAGTTCAGAGACTTCGCCTAATATCTGATAACATCAGGATCGGGACAGCGCTGGAAGGGACCCTTGGAGGTCTTCTAGTCCAACCCATACACCATTCCGGACAAATGTGTGTCCGGTCTCTTCTTAAGAAAAGCCTCCAGTGATGAAGCACCCACAACGTCTGAAGGCCAGCTTATTCCACGGGTTAGCAGCTCGAGAGGCAGGAATCGACCTCGGGAAAACCCCGGCGCGAGAAGGAAGAGCTTTCTTGGATCCGAGGAATGGTCGCCCGACGCTTTTACGCATTTACACGTCGGAGGGCTCCGGGTCCACTTGTCCCAAGGACCAAACACGGGCAGCAGCGCTGAACGAGGCCCGGCAGGTACTGAGGGAGACGTTACACGATACTCACCCCGGCCTCATGTCGCTGGCACCAGCCGGCCACCCGTACTGGAGACGAGGCGAAGAAAAGCAGCGGCCTCCTCCGGGGCCGTCTCGGCCGACCAGTTTCCCAGGACATCCCCGGGTAAAGGGGCGGGGCTTCCCGCCGGGAGCGGAAGCGCGCTCCGAGGGGGCGGGGCCTGGCCAGAAAGCAAGAGGGGAGGAGGAGGAGGACGCAGCGGCGGAGGAAGCGCTGCCGTCGCCCCGCGGAAGTCGTTACGGCTCTCCTGTTTCTGCATGGCGGCTGCGGTGTGCCTGCAGCTGCTGCTCCCGCCGCCATCTTTAGCGTTGCCCGCCTTGCGGGGACGGGACGGCGGGAGAGCGTGAGCCCGGGCCGGAGCAAGCCTCCCCCGCTCTCCGCCGGCGGCTCCTTCCTCCTCCCCGCCCGTCTCCCGCAGGATCGGTGACCGCGGAGCCGATGGGGAAGTACTTCCTGACCCTGAGCGTCCTGAAAGGGCCTTGGGACCAAGTCTTCACCGCCTTTTGGCAGCGCTACCCGAACCCTTACAGGTCAGGGGGAGCGCGCGGGGATGGGACTCTGCTCCGCCTCGCCGTCGGCTTTAGCCCCGCGGGCTGCCGGGCGGGACTTGGCGCTAAGCCGCCCTAGTCTCCTGACGGGGGGGGGGGGGGTCTCAGAGGGGTTATTTTGGGAAGTGGGGAGCGGGGAGAGAGGGACTCTAGTTACACGGAGCGTGCTCTTCTTTCGGGGCAGGACGCAAAAGGGCTGCCGGTTGGAAACCTCGCCTCATTCATCCGGCTTGCTCTTGCAAAACCGCAGCTTGTTTTGCGATTACTCAGGAGTCCCGGGCTGCAGCGAGCTATGCCGATCCCAGTGTCCGAACGAAGTTCGGCATCAATAACTTCCCGAGTAAGTACGGGTGTAGGAGCTCCGGCTGCAGGCTCGATCTGGGGTGGAAAGCTCTGCTCTGACCCGGGATTCCGCCCCAAGGGTAAACCTGAAGCCAAGGGCAGCTGGTGTAAGTCGAAAGGGAGAAAACGGAACGATTGTAAATCTCAACCCTCCTTTTTCCCCCCCCTTAATGGCGAAGGCCTCTGGGAGATCTCAGCCACTAGAGGGAGGAAGGGAGCGAGCGAGCGGTGCTGAGCTAGTTTGTGCCTGCTTCGAGCGTTACCTTACAGTGGATTAAAAAGAGCTTTACTACTGTGACCGGAAGCTGAAATAATAGGAAGATGGGGTGTTTTTCTTAGCTGCTGCGTTTAGAAATCCAAGGATTCCCGTGGGAAAAGAATGATCAATAATAATGGCTTGACTCTGTTTAACTGGTGCTAGAAGAAACCGTTGTCAGAATGAGCCCCTCTTTTTAGTGTAGTGTAGAATACTCCTGAGGTAAGTTTACTTAGCAACTACTTATCTTCTCAAGCCAGTAGGCAAAGCCTCTTATCCTGGTCTCATTAACTATAAGGTTAATCTTGGTCATTGTATTGTCCATTAACTTACTTTCCCCACTTTAACATCTATATTTGGCTGAAATAATTAAAAGGTGATGACCTAATTAAACATGAGACCACTTCTCTTGCCCATAGGAATCTTAAATAACAAAATAAATGCATGCTATTAGAACTGCAATTCTGTCAAAAGTAAACCTGAAAGAGATGCTTTTCCATTTCTCTCTCCTTCCCAATCAGGACAGGTGTACTTTTGCAATAGATTCTAGATGTGGAAATAAGGTAGAATAATAAGACAGAAATAGTATTAGTTGACTCCACTGAATTGTGTGACTAGATAAGTAGGGAGTGTTATGGGGCAATTTAATTATAGTTGCACACCATAGGGTGGTATCTTAAATCCTTGTCTTTTTTTACCCAGCAAGCATGTCCTAACGGAAGATATCTTGCACCGAGAGGTGACTGATGACCAGAAACTGCTTTCCAGGAGGCTCCTAACCAAAACCAACCGGATGCCCCGCTGGGCAGAGCACTTCTTTCCACCTAATGTCGGCCGCCATGTCTATATCCTAGAAGACTCCATTGTGGACCTACAGAATCGAACTATGACCACATTCACCTGGAACATTAATCATGCACGTCTTATGGTAACAGAAAAAGGTTTTACATTTACTTGCAGCCACTACGGCAACATAAAATGACTCAGGCAGCTTGAGGAGGTGGTTGTTATTTTGGAATGCTGTCTCCCTTGCAGGTAGTGGAGGAGCGATGTGTTTACAGAGAGAACCCAGAAAACAATAGCTGGACAGAAGTCAAGCGGGAAGCCTGGGTCTCCTCCCGTCTCTTTGGCGTCTCCCGTGCTATCCAGGTAAGGGAGCTACAGATCTGTGTATGCATGACAGAAGAGACTGCCTGTAATAAACAATCTGAGACTACTGGTATCTAGCTGAAAAACTAGGTTGATTGCTCAACATTTAATAATAGAGAAGAGGCTATTTTTATCTCTTTGCTTCTTGATCAACTGGCTGTTCTCTTGTTTTAGGAATTTGGCTTGGCTAGATTCAAGAGCAATGTGACCAAGACTACTAAAGGTTTTGAATATGTGCTGGCCAAAATGCAAGGTGGGTACATCTGTAATAGCAACTAAAAAAATTCAGTATATAAAATGTAGACTAAAAAAAAACGTAATTGCTTTCTTGGACTTGTTCTAAGTACCACAGGTAGTCAACTTTAAACCACAATTGAGCCCAGAATTTCTGTTGCTAAGCGAGACAGTTATTTCCCATTTAACAACCTTACTTTGCCACAGTTGTTAAGTGAATCATTGCAGTTATTAAGTTATTAACACAGTTGTTAAATGAATCTGGTTTCCCTATTGACTTTGCTTGTCAAAAGGTCACAGAAAATGATTACGTGAACCCAGGATATAGCAACTGTCATAAATATGAGCTAGTTGCCAAGTATTTGATTACGTGACCATGGGGATGCTACAAGATCATAAAGTGAAAAACTATTATAAGTCACTTTTTTTCAGTGTCATTGCAACTTTGGTCACTAAACAAATGATTTAAGTTGAGGACTACCTGTATTTAAAATGTAAAATCATTCCTCATAGGTAATGACTATTAAAAATGTTATACAATATTTTCCAAAATAGGAACAAATTAGAGTTTTACAGAAAAACTAGATACAGTGGATATATTTACTTATTCCTGGACTTTTGGCTTATTGATTTTACAGGTGAAGCACCCTCTAAAACACTAGTGGAAACTGCCAAGGAGACTGCCTTGGCGGTTACTGAGAAGGCAAAGGACTTAGCTGGCAAGGCAGCTACTACAAAAAAGCAACAGTACACGTGAGAAAACAGTTTTTTCCACTGAAGGAACTAGAATGCCACTGGTACAGAGTGGCACAATAATACTGGAAGGTTCACTTTAACTTAAGCTTCCCTTCCTTTGGAAGTTGACCAGAATGTCTGTAGATTTTATGTTTTTTTAATTGAGACTGTACAAATCTGACAATCATCTTCTTTCTTAAAGGTGTTAATTATCATTAAAAGAATACAATTTATTTCAGTATCAGTATCTATTTTTCATCAATGATTTAATTATTTCTATTTACACTTGCCTCTCATGCAACTCAAAAGCAAGCCTTTGTATGAGACTTCAGAGAATTGGTAACTATTGGTGAATAAATGCTACAAATTACTTAGGTTAGGTTACAATTAAAAATACTTATCAAAAACCCACTGAGCATATCTTAAGGTGTTCACTTAAGTCAAAAGATCAAAAAACTTAGATTTTGCAATGGAAAAAGGACTCTTGAAGCAAAATTTTACTATTTGTCCATTCAACAGCAAGACCCATTTCATATAAAAAAAACCCTGAGCATAGCATTTACTTGTGATATGGATTTTTAAAAATCCTCCCTGTGGTTAAGAGCTAAGTGTATCTTTTAAAATGCTTAGAGGTCCTCATCAGCCCAAGTCTGCAGAATGAACTTGCCTGATCCACAAACCTAAACCAGGGCGGGGTGTAAGATGCAGCTATCCAACCAAGTACATATCAATTGTTAAGAAACCTCGCTCTTCTTTCTCCTGCCACCATGTGTTACATGTAAAGTTAGCCAGCTTCAGTATGTAGCTCTCTTAACTGCCCTAGTTGGTTTTGTGAAGAAGGTAGACATGCAAGACTTGGTTTGATGAGGAGGTGCATAGTCTTTTTTGTAAGAAAGGGGGGGGTCCTCTTTACTTACAGAAAACAGTCTTATAGACCATGTATCAGTTACCCTGCCACGAAGTAATTTCTGAAAAGTTTGAAGCTTGTCTAGATGAATGCTGTCCTAACTGAGCTTCTGTCCATAACCAGAAGTTGCTGACATTGGAGTAGCTGTGCTCCTGCTGAGTACTGAAGGCAGCCATGGCATCTCCAATGCTAGCACATGCCAGGCCTTCTATGTCCACTTCATCTTCTGCAACAGAACAAAAAAAAACCCTTAGCATTATGCTTTATTCAAATGGAATGCAGTATCTCATACAAGCTTCCCTTTCAACATAGGCATAGGCAGCTTTCCCTCTGCCTGTCCGGTTCAGCCCAGCAGGTGGATATATTCTGGGTCCTGTCAATTAAAGTCATCTTGCAGGACCCAGGAAGCCTACATACTCTGTTGCAATTCTTGCCTTCTGGAAAGATCTCCCCTGCTCAGAGATTTCATAAGCCTCCATCCTTGTGGGAAGCCTTTCCTTTTTGTTTTAATAAGTTGCTTTTTAGTTGTAGGCTGCCCAGAATTGCTTGGGAGCTATGTGGCCTATAAAATGAAAACAAACAGATCTGGCTCAGTGATCCTCACCCTAAGTAATCTCCAAATTTACCCTGCCTTTTATAATTAACACTGTAGCGAGTAACTTTCTGCTTATTAGACCCTGCGTTGTTTTGCTGCTTAACTTGTTGGCATCATGAAGATGTAGCACTAGAATGACTAGGCATTGCCCACCTGAGTCAGAATGCTCAGAGGAGAACCGAGGAGAATCCAGGCTATCTGCTTCTGCCTGTTCCGTATTCAGATGGGCTTGCAATTCTTCTAAGCGCTGGTGCAAATTCTGCCGCTCACAACGTAGCCTCTCTTTCACTTGTTGGGCTTTCTGTTCCTGGTGTTCTAGCTTCTGGGAGTGAAAGGAGGATCGAAAATAATAGTTGAGATGCTTTTATTTCATATCTCCTAGAAAAACCACACTGGTTACCGTTGGAAATAAAAAATAATACAGCCACTTTCTCAAATTCAGCTGGAAGCATTTGCTAAGTAGTCCATCCTAAACACAAAACTGAATAAATTATAAGTTATTCTTGGCTGGATTTAGATTTCTCCCTTTGTTTTCTTTGGTTCTTAAACTTACTTGAAGGCTGGCAGGGGTTTTTCTTTTTTAATACAAATTTTATTAAAAGTTTAAAAAAGAACATAAAAACTAATACAGAATAAAGGAGACAAAAGAAAAAGGGTGCAGAAAAAAAGCTGATTTTCTTCGTAGCAGATATGTAATGATACATATTTACCTTATTCTATGATTACAAAAACTCGCTTTTTTCTATTCAATTTTTTTTTCAATTCATCAAAACCACGTGATAGGTATAATTTTTTCTACTTCATGGAAAAAGTCTACAAGGGGTTTCCAGTCGGCCATAAATGTACATATTATTTGTAATCAAAGAAGTCAATTTAGCCATCTCTGCAAGTTCCGTCATCTTCACCAACCATTCCTCTATTGTGGGTAGTGTCAAATTTTTCCTCTTGAATTTGTTTGAATACGCTGCAAATGTCATACATAAAAGCACAAGTTCTATGGTTTTTTCTTGCTATCCATTAATTCCAAATTGGGAAGTTGTGGTTTCAATTGTACATTAGTCTTTAAAATCTTCTGAATTAATGTATTTATTTGTACCCAATTTTGGGGGATTATTTTTACATGTCCACTATATATGATAAAATGACCCTTCATATTGTTCACATTTCCAACAGAGATGCATTTCCTTTATGCATTCTAGACAATTTCTCTGATGACAAATTGGTTTTTCCTTTATTCATTTCCATTTATTGACTTGATCATGCTTAAACCATTTTTTCTATGTTCAGTTTGAAAAGCTGTAGGTTATCTCTAATAAAATATTAAAACTAGAAATCTCAGTATCATTTGCTAATTACCAACAACTAAACCTATCAAGAAAGGCAGTCTTTAACTATTCCCAATATTACTACAGCTTCCTGGAAGAAGCGTGATACATTACTTACTTTAATGTGCAATCTGGCACGATGCAGGAGACTAAGCATTGTGTAACGAGAATGCTCTGTATTTGTGGAGATTTGCTGCTTCAACTGATCTAAACAATGCCGTAGCTGGGCCCTTCTGTTGGGAAGAAGCGCAGACTGGACAATCACATTTTAGGTAATTCCAGAACAAGGCAGAACCACATTTTCCAAGGTGTAAAATGGTCAATATATGGCTGATTTCAATAATTCCTTAATTCAGGGATTGCTGTATTGAGTCACTGCTTTCTGGGTGAATCAATTCAGAGGAGATAAGGTTTTTTAAATTAATTGGACCTGAAAGTGATGTCATTGTCAAGACTCATTCATTCTTTGCATGTGCAAGCCCACGGCAGGCTTGCTCAGACATGTAGGATACTAAACCAATGAGTTTAGCCATCTGCTAATCACAGTAATTTCATTGGATGGATAGGTTACCTATACTGTATTATTTATCATTTTATAGCACTGCAGTACTGAAAATCTAAGAATTGCTGTTTTACTAGGCATAATACTGTATACCATGGAATCTAAATCTTTTATGCTCCCTTGCTAATAAGAATATAAGTAACTCTGATCATTGAGATGTTGTGTATGAAAGAGGCAAGCAAAGAGTTAATGGTCTTGGACTGCATTTCAACTTGAAAATACATACATAGGAAATACTATTTACCATCAGCTGTATTCCCAGTTCAGTTTCATTGACCTGAAATGAGAACAGCCAGTAATAACAGAAATGGCTGTCTGCACTTGAAGAAGCCTGAAATGTTTGGATACTTAAAATATTTAGGAAAAATAAATCAATGGGAACAGAATTACAAAGAGCATGAATTCATTGCATTAAATTTATAAAATATTCTTACCAGGGCAAGATAAAGACAAAGATACATTTTCTCAAAACTTAAGTTCAGCCAGTGCTAACTATTCATATGTACATTTAAACTGTTTACCAAGTTAACCATTTTCTAGTGAACTTCTTGCTGGTGCTTATTTTGTTATGCAAATTCAGCCTGTTTGATTTATTGTATGATATATTGTGTAAGCTAGAAAATGGTTAACTTGGTAAACAGTTTAAATGTACATGTGAATAGTATGAAATATTGAGAAATAGGTGAGTGAAGTCCTTGCACATAAATGGAAGAAAGAACCCAGAAAGATCATTTCTTCAGAAATGATGGTTCAGAAAAAGAAAAACATATTTTAAATTATGACCCTGGAGTCTAAACTAACCCTCAAAATTAATGGAGGAATTGGGGCTCCTAGTTATTAATATAGCTAGGATCAGGCAGAAATGAGTCCATCCTTCTTTCCTAGCCAATAAAATGTGGGACAGAGGAGCCTAAAAAACAACAAAAACAATTAGAACAATATTCCTCCTTAAGTGTACCTGTGTTTCTCCAACTCATTGTGTACAGACCTAAAAGAAACACAAAACAAAAATGATGAGCTATATTTAAAATTCCAACAATAGTTTTTTTCTTTTTTCACACACACACACACACACACATTTGTTTACAAATATAAATATCAAACACAGTGCAACTGTTCTGGCACTACTCTGCCACATCTACAAAGATATTACTAAATCATTAACATTCATATTATTGGTACAATATTATTAACATTCATATTATTGGTACAACACCCAGCCTCCACTTCCTTTTGACTATATTTTGTTCTTTCAATTAGTAAGCTTGGTTATTACACCCCTGTGTGAATAGTAGTTTTCCTCTATAAGAGTGCTCTTCCAAGTACTTTTTCTCCTTATAGTGAGAGAAATGAAACTAAAACTAGATGTAAAAACGCAAAAAACTGGTTTAGGATTAATGACTCTCAAATTCTGGTATCATGACCCCTTTACATTGTTAAAAATGACTGAGGACCCCAAAGAGCTTTGGTTTCTGTGGGTAATGTAATATAATATTTATTAGAAATTAAAACTCAGAAATTTTAAAGTATTTTGACTTCACAGTCCGTCCCCCCCTCCACAAAAGGGTCCCCAGCGTAACCGTGTTCGGCTTCGTGTGTGTGTGTGTGTGTATGTATATGTATGTATGTGTATGTATATGTATGTATGTATGTATGTATGTATGTATGTATGGTATTCAGCTTTGTTCAGGTATTTTCCCAGTCATTATAGTTGTGCTTTTAAAGTTGTAGCAACGTTTAGGCAGAATCTCATCTGCCACCATCAGGCTTCTGCATTGTGTTCGTCTGTGAGTCAGACTTTCACAGCCGCTTCAGTTTTAAATTTGGGGCAGCCTACCCCAAATTTAAAAATTTACCCCAATACAGAAGCCTGATGATGGCAGATGAGATTCTGCCGAAACGTTGCTACAACTTTAAAAGCACAACTACAATGACGTGGGAAAATACCTGAGCAAAGCTGAATACCATACATAAAGATGTATAAATATGCTTAAATATGTTCCAATCTGCCCCCGCTTTCCCACTCGCTCCTTTCCTCCCGAGGAGACCCAGTTCAGCCACCCTCCAATTCAAAGCCATTAGACGCGCCTTCCCTTCTACCGCCCTTAGTAGCGAATAAGGAATACCTCTCTCTCAACACCTGAATGTTGCTACTCGTGAGTTCCATGACAACGGGGGAGCCGCGGAAGCAAGGACTTTGCAGCCCTGGATCAACGCAAGTGGCCCACCGCCTTTAGCAACCAGTCCCGGCCGTATCCCGCCCCTTCGAACTCTCCGGGGTTCTGGTTCCACCCCTCCTCATCCACGCAGCAGCTCTTCCTTCGGGGACCTCCTTCGGGGAGCGCAAGCCTAAAGGGATGAAGCCAAGAGGGCTTCCCCCCCCCCCCCCCCCCCCCCGTATCTCCGTCTCCCCCCCCCCCCCCCCCCCCCCCCGCGCCCCTCCCCCGGGGGCCCCCCCCGGGGGGCGCAAGCCCAAAGGGGGGGAACCCAAGGGGGCCCCCCCCCCCCCCCCCGTCTTTCGAACCACTTAGCCCTCACCGCCCCCCGGCCCCCCTCTTCCATTTTTAGGCTCGGGGCGTCCTCGCTGCCTTGTTTTGAATCTTAACCGGTGCTGGGCGGGGCTAGGGAAAGCAGCGCTGTCATTGGTTGGAAGACGCAACCAGACGTTTATCCATCGCTGCCCTTTCGAAACAAATTCGGGCGGGTAACGATGATGTCTTATATTTGAACGGAGGGCGGGGCCTGCACTCCTGCTTATTGTTTGGAGGAAATAGAACGAGACACGTTTTGAGGCTGCTTGGGCACAGCTCGGTTTAGAGGCTTTCGCTTTCGTAGATTACAGACTTTTATGTGTGCACATATTAGTAAGTGAATAAAAAAGCGTGGTAAAATATCCCTTGATCGGTTAATGAATAGAAATAGGGATAGAATTAGAAATAGAATAGAACAGAATAGATCTGGGAGGGACCTTGAGGTCTTCTAGTCCAGCCCCTTGCTCAAACAGGAGAACCTATACCTTTTTTATTTGTTTCTTTGTCAAGCATCCATGAGAAAACAAGTATAAGTATGAACCTAACATCAACATAAGTATAAACAGGTGTAAGTTTATACATAATAAATGAATATGGATAAATGGGAACAGTAGGACAGGGACCGTAGGTATGCTGGTGCACTTATGCACACCCCCTCTTAGGAATGGAGTGAGGTCCATGGTAGACAGTTTAAGATTAAAGTTCAGAGGGGTTTGAGGATATAACAACAGTCAGGTAGTGAGTTCCAGGCATTGACCACTCTTGCTGAAGTTGTATTTTCTGCAATCAAGTTTGAAGCGGTTTACTTTGAGTTTGCCTGCGTATTATTGTGGTTGAAGCTGAAGTAGTCGTTGGCAGGTAGAATGTTGTAGCAGGCAATTTTGTGTACTAAGCTTAGATCAGACCGTAGGTGGTGTAGTTCTAGGTTGTCCAAATCCAAAATGTCAAGCCTGGTAGCATAAGGTATTCTATTGCGAGCAGAGGAGTGGAGTCCTCTTCTTGTGAAATACTCTGGATTTGCTCAATTGTATCAATGTCTGTTATACAGTGTGGATTCCAGGCAGATGAGCTGTATTCAAGAATTGGTCTGGCAAAGGTTTTGTTTGCTCTGGTTTGCAGTACAGTGTTACCAGAAAAATAGTTTCCCAAAATTAGGTTAACAACTCTTAATGCTTTTTTGGCAATGCTGTTACAGTGAGCTCTGGGGCTTAGATCTTGAAATGAGTACTCCTAGGTCCTTTTTCCCCCCCTGACCATCAGCTGTTCTGCTGTGCCGGGAGATTTAGATTAGCTAGAAAGCAGGAAATGGTTAAAAGCAGAGCCAAAACCTTCCTTAGGACTGAAGCAGACTCAGCTAGCCGATGACAGAAACACAGATCTCTAAGTGAATCTGTGTTTCTGTGAGCAACTCAATCTGCCTGCCTGCTTTGCCTGCTTTTGGGTAAAAGTTCTTTTTTAATAAAAAAATTCAATATTTATATAAATATTTATAATATTTACATATAAGCCATGCCCAGCTGGTCACATGACCACCAAACCACACCCACAAATTAGGCCATGCCACAGAACCAGTTAGTGGTCCCTGGGATTTAAAATTATGAGTTTGGTGGTCCCTGAGGTCCAAAAGGTTGGAGACCCCTGTCCTAGCCCATGGGCCATATGCAGCACTGGACAGCTAGTAATTCGGCCCCAAAAGACCCTCTAAAAATAAAGGAAGTTTGTTATTTGTATACATGAATTATATTTTATATGTGGCCCAAGACAATTCCTCATTGCTCAATGTGGCCCAGGCAAGCCAAAAAGGTTGGCTATGCCTGTAAAGATATATTAGAAGACAAATTTATTGTATTTAATTAATGGTAGATGGAGGACTGCACTCCCTAACACATCTTCAAAATATACAATTGTAAACAGGGTGTGCAATGAACATGTGCAATCAAGTGCCTTCTTCTCACCTGGACATTGTTTTTCAAAATTTGGATGGGATGAGTGTGCTTGTAATATGTCATATTTTTCAGTGAAAAAAGTTCTCATGCAGCTGCAGTATGAGAAACAGCAAGTCTGAAGTAAGATGGTATCTTAATGGATATGCATTTGCATGTCTGTATACTTGGGGGCATATTAAAGTTTGTACTCTGTTCCAATGGCATTATTCTTTAACTGGTTTAAACATAGCCATTGTCAGGCCCAAGCCCAAATGTAACACAGAAAAATCTAATCCAATCCAATCTTTTATTTGTTTACACCCGATGGACAAAATCTTACCAGATTAAAGCTATAACTCTACTAGATATAGCCTGAGAGATTCTAGGAAGTGGCTACACTGAACTTCTTCCTCCCCCCCCCCCCCCAATTCAAGGCTTGATCGGGGCCTCTGTCTGATAGATTTACTGCTCCCTTCCTAGGAAAGCTCTGTTGCCCAAACTCCTATCCACCAATTCTCCAGATCAGACATGAACATTTTATGGCTCTAAGCCACATCCGGCCCTTTGCTGGTCTCTGTCTGGCCTGCATAAGGTCAATTGGAAATTAGAAAATAAAATGTAAATAAGCGAGCTGCGGGAGGTGGAAGCAGCAGCAAACTGCACTCCTTTAACTGGCTGGGGGGAGAGAAACTTTATAAATGACTGGCTTGAATATTTTTAAAGAATTATTTGGACCCGAGTTATAAATTCCCATTTTTTAAAACAAAAGTGATGCTTCTTTGTTGCATATCAGCAATGCAGTTAGGGGGCAATCTTCAGAAAATCGTCTGGTTGAAATGAGGTGGGAAAAGAAAAATAGCACAGCAACAAGTTTTGTAGAGTCTGTATTTGCAGCAGCAGATTCTGTCTGTCAACACCCAACAGCAACCCAACAGCTAAATCCAGCAAAAGCAATTATTTTTAATTCAGAGTACACAAGATGGCAACAGCAACAGACAGCATTTTTCAAGTATAAAGTTATTTGATTCAAATCAGACTTGATTTTATGCAGTTTTCTTGGCAGCATTATGGAAATGTTTTGCTTTGCCTTCTTCTGGGATGGATGGATGGAGATGATACAGATAGAGAGACAGACAGAGATAGAGAGATCTTCTAGTGTAGCCAAGGTTTCAGGATGATAACCAGCTCATAAGTCATTTCAGAAAGTTACATGAATCCCAGATAGGTTTCCAAAGCATCTCCCACAGTGTGGCATAAGAGTTTATAAATATACATTGCATATGAACAGTGTTGTAGCCCTTACGTACACTGAGCTGAAGAGCAAAAGTCCATTGCTCTCCTCCACAAATTATTGTTGGAAATCCAGGTCCTGCCTTTCAATTCCAACTGGAAGTATACTAAAGCCCTTATTGCACATGCATCCAAATCTGGTAACACAATCTCATTTTTTTGGTTTAACCTTAGGACAATAAATTATTCTTAGGTTTTACCAGAAGTCGGGTAAATAGCACCAAGTAATTTCTACATGGGCCATAATTCCATTATAGAAAAAGCCAGTTTTATTAGCACATAGAAGAGTTTGTTCAGACTTCTTTAATGATATATTCTAGTTCCCACCCCACAAATTCCAAGTGTTCTTTATTATAAAAATGCAAATAGAGTTCATTCCCTCTTTAAAGAACATAGTGCTTCCTTCCTTCAACCCAACTCTTGCCTGACAACCAAAAGCCCTTTGCTTCACCCCCCCTGGAGAATCCTAGTAAGACAGGTGTGATTGCTCCCATAATCCTTTGCGGGTGAGACAAGCTGCAGTTATTTTCCAGTTTTCGGAGGTTCCTCAGGCACAGATGGTATTTGATAAAGCCCTCATCCAGAAACTGATGCTCACAGGCAACTGGCATTCTTATTTGTTGAAGGCAAGTGGGTAGTGTAGCAGTGTGTACAGATGCGAACTGGCTTCAGATGCCTAAAATGGGGCAGTGCTGCCAAGTGGGAAGAGCAACGAGAGCAGAAGATCTGAGAAAAAATAAATAAAAATATGTCCATCAAGAGCATAACAAGCCTCCCTACCGATGAAAATGCACTAAAAAATATTAGAAAAATATTAGAATGTGCAGAAATGGATAGATTAACACTCAAAATTAAGGAGAAGGAAGAAACTGAATACTTTTTAACATGAGATTTGTTTTATCAATGGCTAACTAGCAGAAACAGAAGTTAGAAATTTAAAAGCATAAGAGAATAATTAATTACATAGAATATTCACTAAAATGGATAATCAAATACTATTATGTGATTATTGTTATGAATGGTATTACTATTTCTCAAAATTAACTGTACTCAGACAACACACTGTTTATGTAGACACTGAATGTTTGTGTTTAATATTTTTAAAAAGAGCATAAGAAGCCTCATTTCCTTTGCATGCAAGAAAGTAATAATGAACCTATGTATGAACTTGAATTTAATAAATGTATGTGTAACTAGAAACATCCAATGAAGCAGACTGAAATAAAAAAGATAATAACCATGGTTTAACACCCAGTCATAATTCAACTTAAGGCCCAACAAAGGAATACCCAACAAGCTGCAATTTAATCCTTTCTTTTACATGATAGGCTACTCCATTGCTTCTTTCTTACTGTTCTTATCTGTCTGGTAGCTCAGTCACACACACCCTGAATAGAATGCCTCTTTCAGTTTGTCTCACCTGGAGACCTGCATTTCAGATCCTCCTTCCAGATCCAAGAAGGATCTTTTTGGAAAGTAATTCATGAATTGAACTACAGCTCCCAGCATTCTTGACTCCTGGTTCATGTTGGGTGGATCTAACCCAAAGTAGCCCTGATCTCTTACCTTCCCACAACTCC